GCACGCGACGGCGCGCGCCGAGTTACCTCACGGGCGGGCGGCGCCTGGTGCCGCTTGGGCAACCGCACGACGCCTCTGCTGGCTCGACCCCGAGAGCCGGGAGCCCTTCTCCCGCGCCCCGATCAGCGGTCTGAGGTTGAAGCCTCCCATACAGCCGCTCGTGCCTTTCCGTGCCGGGCGCCCGCGTCTTGGCTTTCGTCCCGCCTCGTGCCGTTTCCACACGGACGCTATCGCATCGGCTGTGATGAGGACAATCGGCCCAAGGCGCATCTGACGTGCAGCCTTTTGCAACAGCCTGACGCCACGAGGCGCTGAGCCCGGCCCACGGGCACTATCTCCCGCTGACCTGGAGTGGCCAAAGTTGGCACGGCAGTGGACGTGGGCGGTGTTATCACGAGCAACACGACACCAGTACGTGACGGCGGCACGCTAGACCTCCGTTATTGTTCCTGCTTCCAGGTTTCCTCACCACCTTGTTCCTTGCCGCATAGCAAATCATAGCTTTGTGATATGTTCCGCATAGCACCTCGCGAACTCACAGTTCCATAGCGCATATTCCGCGAACAGACCTTCTGCAAACCTGCACTGTGGACTCTGGGGCGCGCTTTCAGATCTAACCTCTTCGACAGTCGCCCCGTTCTCAGCCCTTAATAGTTCGCAATGTCAGCACCAGCCAATGAGAAGTTTCAAACAATGCGTAGATTGCTCCACCTACTGGGTCGCTCCACCCGGATTGCAGTAGTCCCCTGCGACCCCGCCTCCAGCCTGGTCCACTTCCCGCCCAAAAGCTCAGCCACATTCTCCCGGGATGAATTTTCGCAACCACATCTGACCCGGTTGCGGGAGGCCATAGATTCGTACCCTCAACCACTGAGAGCATGCTGCTTTTGTAATGAGTGTCTTGTAAGGGCACCATTGCCCCCGTTAGGACATTTCAGTTTCGGTGTGGTTGCATCGTAGCTATGACACGGATGGAGCAATGGCAACAACAGTGAACAGCAACGGGAAGGTTTCTGGCAATGACGAGAAGGAAAGGAAGGAAGATTTCAAGTTTGACGTATCGCCGAAAGGTCATCAGGTCAGGTGACATATGTGTCATTATCAGTTATTTGTAATCGCATCGCAGACTAGGAGCACGTCCACTCGATAGTCAAATATACCTTCAAGTTACAAACGATTTACTTACATACAAACGATTTACAAGCGAGCTGTAAAGCGGGTTGCAAAATTTCCTGCGAGATGTAAAGAGACAATAGTTGAATGAGTGGCCTGACCTGACCTGACCCATGCACCTAACGCTTCCGGGAAGACTACAACCTTGCAACTTATAGGAACAGGTGATTAACTGTTTAACCAGACGATATCTTCAGCATGTAAAATATAAGGCCATTCCACGTTAAGCCGCACAGAAATCGGCACTTTTGACTCCCGCCTTTTCGATTTGGTTCAAATGTAAAAATCGCATAAAACCAAGGTAGCGATCATCATGCATAAATATGAAGCTCCCGATGACTTTTGAGGTAAGAGTGTTGGGTCGTATTGGTTTACAAGTTTTCACTGACATTGCATCATTCAGATGTGCACATCTCAGTGGCAAAATGGCATGGGAAGATGTAGTTTTCCCGTGCTTGACTGATCTGAGTTGTACGAAAATTCGTCATACGTACGATCAGATAATTGTAGGTATGTGCGAGTAAAAAGTACAAGACAGTTTTTTGGATGTCGTTATTTTTTTAGAAAATGTAGTCCAAATGGTTCGCATGGATGACTTTGGGTTCACAGTACTTGCTAAGCACAGCTTGTTGTGTGTACCCTGAAACCATCACCCAAACCTCAGCGTCCAGTTCAACGAATAATTTTGCCTCCGCCCTTGCGCCAGATAGGAATGTGTGTGTGTGGGGGGGGGGGGGGGGTTACGTGCCGCAAAATGCTGTGACACGGCCGCCCCGGGCCAGCGCTGACCCTTGTAGGCCAGTTGCCAGCTGACCTTTTCATTTAGTCGGGGAAAGCAATGCACCCGCTCTGGGACTCATACCCAGTCCACTGGATTACGTGTCCAGCATCTTTTCCCTAGGCAACGGAGGCGGCCGTGGTCGTGGCTCTATTGATTAAGGCTATTAATTCACAGAGCCTTGCCGTCCTTTGCACAGATGCCCTGTGACCATTTACCACGATGGGCGGAATACGTGAGCCCTTTTTATTCAATCCAGTTAAATTTAGTCCACACAATGCCGTTGATTCCCGTTCCATGGGCACAAAGTGTCAATTCAACCTGACCTGACCTGGTGTGACCCGGCCTTAAAGGTCGGTCATGACCTGGCAACAAAAAGTCACAAATGTACGAGATGAAATGGCACTCAACACGCTATTTTAGCTGAGAGTATTTAACGACGGATCATACAAGCGTTTTCCACTACGTTGGTGACCTTTCCGAGCTCTTACCAGGCTACTGACCTCAACTGGACTAGGCTGAACTTTGATGACGTGAGACCGTTGTCCAGTCATTTTAAAAAGCTAATTTCGAGTCCGGTATCCATTTTTCACCGTTTGCACTCGCTCGTGTTCCTTGCATGGCCACCAGGGGCTCTGAGGTCGCTACATCGTACCAAAAATATGACAGGCTAATATGTAGCGTTTATTATGATTTCTAGATTGTTTAGCTGCTCGAACTTCCTGGAGTCGTTCATTGCTATAAGCCCGTGTGACAAAGACCATGCCTCTACGCGATGGCGGGCCAACATGGCGCATCTGTTTCGTTCTCTGCGCATTGTGGGCATCTGCCAATCTATCCTTTACAGCCCCGGCCTGTTTGGTACTGTTGGGCAGGTCACAATACTTACAAGCGTTGAATTTGACTGATTAAATAAAAGATGATATGTCTGCACCTAGGTCTCGGTTGAAGTCTTTGTAGGCCGGTTTTCCCTGGCAATCTCTTCAGTGTTACTCACTCCGTTGCATGGTGTATGGCGATCACAGCGAACGGTTATAGCAAGTTCGGTTAGCCAAAATAGTCCGGAAACAATCAATATGCAGCGTGTTGTTTGCTGTTGCGACATTTGGTTACGAGAGTAGTATATTTAGAGTCTCTGGTGGTTGCTAGATGAAAAAAGTGAGTGCAATCGCACAGAATGGACACCAGACTGGGAAGCAACGCCTCACAATGACCTGCGATCTACCGAACGTCAAAACATGTCATCCGAAGCCACCTCAGATCAGCAACATTGGTAGCCCTCAGAAAGGTAACGAACGTAATGTGAGCCATTAATGTGGTGAGGTTACGCTCGTATTGACCCCACCTTGTCTTTTCAGTGTCATTTGCTTTCGTATAGCTCAGGTGACTTGGGAGCGTACCCCAGGATGCCCGAGAACAACGCTTTTGAGGAAAAAAATTTGGGTGCTCAGGTCTAGCCTGGTGCTCCGATCTAAGCCAAGTTCAATGGTGTCATTTATTCAATAATTTGAATGTTTAGGAGCACGAAAAATCTTCAGGCTTGGCAGTTCTGGCTCATTTTTGCTTTCACAGAGCCAGCAATTTATAAAATGTTATGATGTTACAAAAAAAGCTCGTTTACATCAGCTTGGAGGCTTGAAACAAAGCCCTTACCGCTGCCATAGCATACCGATTCCACATTTTTTTACCGTAACATCTAGCTGGTATGTCACTTGACCAAATCCAATCCGTGCAACGAAAGTGACTCACTTGTGTGTATATTAATGTGATTGGAGCTCATTTAATCGTTCATTAAAACCATTTGACATTTTGTTGATCTTTCAAGACTTTGTTTGACCACGAACAAGAACAAAGAAAATGCCAAACGTTGTGAATGAAAACGGATGTACGAAACAGCTATTCACGTTACATCATCGCTTAATAAAACAATCGTCATGAACGCCTTAGACATTGTACATCACTGCAACTTTAAATGTCAAGTGCACACTTATCAAAATGCTAATATTCTGCCGGTTGACTCGCACCTCCCGCACAAGCCACTGCAGCTGGTCCTCGCCAGCGATTGTCACGCCCGCGCAGATCTCAATTATGAACAAGCGGTTCTCCGCAGCACCACTGGTCAGTTTCAGGTACTACCTAAGCTTACGACAAAACGGAAAGCTGTCGGTAGCTTCCCATTTACAGACTCGCTTACATAGCCGCCGGCTAGCATCGGTCTGAGAAAGATGGAAGACCAGACCAAATCCCAGTTTGCATCTGGCAGATCCGACAGTTCTGTGTCCCAGTTGGCGGATAACGCTGAATCCTCAAACTAATTTTCCACTAGCATAAACACCAGCGCCACGCCATAGCTCCCTGCCCATTATCGCTGGCGTCGCCCGTAACCAGACAGAATGCAACATCTCGGGACTGAAATAGGGCCAGGGGCAATACATGACGGACAACGCTGTCCTGACCACGGGCTTGCCAGCCGTCCGGTAGTGCAGGAAGCTCCGCTCCCTTGGAGCTTCAATGGACAGTACATGCGCGTGACTGTCTGCGCCGGTGTCCTCTGACGCTCCTGACAACACCCGAAGTCGCACCAGGATCTGTTGCATTATCAACTTTGTCCCGGTAACGAGTGCATTATACCGAGCTCATTGCGTAAAACCACGCAAGCTCTTAGCGTAGCGAGAGGAAAAAACACTCACGCAAGACCGGATGTTCCTGACCGTGGCCAGCTCCACCTGACCCAGACCGGACCCAGACCGGACCCAACCGGACTCGAATACGGGGAAGCCCGAAGGCCGCCACCTCGCCATCGCCCCGCGGCCGCGCGCCGCCAGCCGCGCGAGCTACGCGGCCCTGCCGCAGCAGGCCACTACTCCGCGGCGAGTGAGAGTGGCGGCACCTTGACCTCGACGGTGTGTCAACAGTTCACTGACTCGTCGGCGCCGCGGTACCGGCGATCCGATCCGGAGTAGCCGACCGTGTTCCGCGCCGGCGCGGGTCCGTCCCGTGACCTCCGGCGTCACCGCCAAGGCCCGACGGCGCGCCGCGCATATAAGCGCGCTGCTGACCCAGATGCAGTCACTCTTGTTTTCGGAGGCGTGGTGCGGTGACGACTACAGGTTGACGCGCTCAGTGCAGGTGAGAGGCTGGCGGCAGGGTGGGAGCTCCGTGCTGGATTGTCGGTCGGCGCGTTTGCGGTCGGGCGGTCGACGTTCAGGTCTGTGACAGGCGGGTGTTGAGGCAGGAGCTCAGCGTGTACGCACGCCATGGTCAAGGTCGCGATGAGTGGTTTATGTGTGGTTGCTGTCGGTTTCAGCCGGTTACGATCAACGTACGAGTGAGTTTACCTCTCAGGCCTGCGATAAGTTTGAGACGTTATTTGGGAGCCCGTTTAAGATGCGTTTCTTGTTTCGTTGTCGATGGGCAAAGACAACTTCATGATCATTCTATGCAAACTGGTACGATATGTATTTGTTTATGCGTTTGCTCTGGATGGAACCAAGTCCATTCAAAGCTACATATCTGAAAGCTTCATCACCTCCAAATTTTTTAACAATCGGCAGGACAATTAATTGTACGACAAAACAGCCCAGACCGCTAGCAAATAGGCATCGCGATTTACTTTACAGATCATCAGATAAAGTTCCGTGTCATTACGGCTTAGTCGGCCTACACGACCAATCGCAATGCTGAACAATGTGCAGTTCTAGATTATCACATAACTCTCGCTGATGCTTACTAGTTAATTATTAGAAGCACACCTTATTGTCATGTACCGAACTTTGCTTGAAATTCACGGGAATTGTTTGATGCCGAAGTGAGCCCCTCCTGACAAGCGACGTCTCACGCGAGTGTATATGTTTTGCACTAACTGCGCTATTTGCACCACGCAAACAAAACAAAAACAATGACGTGCCACACTGGTAAAACGCAGGGTAAATATTGACTCACTGCTTCACCAAAATACAACAGTAAAATCAGTAGCATTGTTAATGTACCTTGACGCTGCTTATAGTAAATCCAAAGGCATAATGCAAGCCGTTTTGGAGTGGCAGATACAGAATATTGAGGGGCAAAACAAAATATTTGGCATAAACGAAGCACTGAAACGCAAAAAGCAGCGTTTTACTCCCTCCCGTCGTGAGATATTTGTGAACACTTCTATCAATAACCTGGATCTGCGGCGGAAGCTGGGTACACAAAGCTGTTTAGGTAAAATGCATGTCTGCCGCCGTGTTGAGATGAGCACTAATAACCACCATGGTAGTTATTTCCGATATGGCTATAGCTAGTACCACCCTATGGCTTGACGTATCCGCCTCCGCAATATTTGAACTCATGTACGATGATACAGCTGATATAGCTGTCACAGCTACTAGTGCTAAATGACTAAACATCAGGAGCTGTTTAACAGATTTGTAACTACTAAAGCTAGCAGCTGCCCAACGATAGTATTCATAGCCGGCCTAGTATCAATTACCAGGATTGAAAACTTTGGGCCATAGTCCTAGGAATGCTTTGCCTTGGAACGACCCTGCTGCCTCATTGTCAACATCTGCAGAATTGGTGCATGTCGTCGCCGATAACAGACTTTCGGCAATCGATTAATAGAACCAGCCCGATCATTTAGCTTGTCTGAGAGATGTTTGCATCGAAGCGACAGAAGCTACTTCCTTCCACCCCCCTCCGGATGGGCGCCGGTTGGTGGCATCACGGGCACCAAAACTCTGCAAAGCATGCTATTTTAGGCATTCATATATATATATATATATATATATATATATATATATATATATATATATATATATATATATATACATATATATATATGTATATATAAAGATATGTATATATATACATATACGTATATATAGCTATCTATCTTTATATATATATATATATATATATATATATAAAGATAGATAGCTATATATACGTATATGTGTATATATATATATATATATATATCTTTATATATATATATATATATATATATATATATATATATATATATCTTTATATATATATATATATATATATATATATATATATATATATATATATATATATATATATATATATATATATATATATGCATATATATAGAGAGAGGAAAATTCTAATCCTCATGGTTTTCAATTTTTACAGCTTGTCATCCTGTTACGTCATACTGCTTGCATGCCACAGCGCATCAGTCCACCTTCGTGATCCTGGTTTTGCAGACTTCACGACTGTGTTGCACACGGGGTGTGGCGAATTATACGGCGCCAGCCCGCGGTTGCTCAGTCCATTATACCAGCTCAGCCCAGCTGGTCATAAACAGGTTACGCGACGTTGCAGGCCATTGAGTTCCATAAGCGATGCCATTCGTTATCGTGCCAGAAGTCATGCAATCGTTTAAGGAATCGTTGAATTTGCTAATCAGAGTTGGAAGATTCCGAATCACCAGTGGCGAGTATGATAACATGTGTAAGATTTAAAGATACGCCTCATCGATTTAAAACTCTGGCAGGTTGTGCATCAATTCAGTCTAAATCAAACCCAATGGCTGCGCTCAAATAACTTCCGCGGCTGTCGCATCTGCCTTAAATCACGTTCGTGTCAAAACACCTACAATCTTTATCGATTAAAACACATCGTGGGGCGACAACCCCCCTTCAGTGGGGAGGCGCGCCAGTAACAACTGACTCAGAATGAAGCGTGACTCGATCGGTTGTGGTTCCCGAGCGTGTCATAAACCAAAACCAGGCCGACCGCCGCGACCGCAATGCTGCACCTGCACACGGCGCGTGTCACGGATTGCCACAGGCGCGTGACGCAGTCACGTGTGACTCTTGGGACGCGCTGTGCACGGGAGTGGTGTCATTGTTGGGCTGGCGTTAGTGGGAAGGCTATTGCGACCTTGTGAACATGTGTGCATCTTCTCAATAAAAGCAACTCAGGCAACGTTAGGTCGCCGCCAGGACCACGATAGCAATAGTAATACAGAATCGGACAAGAAATTCAGGATTCATGGTTGGCACAGACACATGGTAATGCTCTTATGCTTGATGCCATCCAGGTGGGGTTTACAAGTTCAAAAGCCATAAAAATGTGACGACAACGTGATTTAGGACGGCTGAGTAGAGCTGAGGAGTAAAACTGTTGATCGGTTGAAGTTCCGGAATTCGGTCCAATCCAACCCATGCATCTTACCTTGGTGCGCCTGGTCTTACAGCTCAGCTCCACCTCCCAGTATGAGCAGACCCATCCCATCTTTGCATGAAGATCCCTCCGAAAAATCAGGCTCCCATATTTCGGCCTTTTTCCAGAAAGATGAAAACATAAATTTCTACTTTGTACCTTCCTCAATGAATTACTCACTCACTGTTCTTACTCACTGGTGCCAGTGAATCGCGAATCCAATCGAATCCCGGCCCCGGTATTTTGAAAACGCCCCGACGCAGTCAATAGTAGTTCATGGATTGATTCTAAATCCGCGTCCTAATCTCATCCTATCTTTAAACCACTGCAAGCACGCAACCACGCGTCGTAGTGACCATTTTTGGAACCAGTCGTCACTTGACTGACAGTGATTAAGCTGGGCCTAGTCAAAACACACCTATTTCTTGCAAACTTGTTGAAAGTGTTATACGCTTGGATCGAAAGTTTCGTGTCAAACCCAGACGTCAATCGCGATGCGGTTCGCATTGTTGAATCGTGAAACTCTTGGACAACTGATTTGCTGTTTGTTCCCTTTCGGCGAGCACCGATTTTGATCGTGAAGGTCTGCGGGAAATCTACGATATTTTTTGAACATCATGCAATGCTAGTTGCAGGTCTAACTGATTATATCGCTGCATTCGCTCCAACCGAAAGACTTGCCTGTTGCTGCGTTCAGTTTTACTTCATCTTTAAGCTTTTTCGACCTTTTCACAAGGAACCAAAAATCACCAAAAGGTCCTTAAAAACGACCTAAGGACAATAAAGTACCACTGTTAAGAAGTACTCCTGCAGATCAGTTCTTGGCCACATAAATGATTTCGTGAAATTCCGCTTATGGGGCTTAATACTGGCTACGAACAACAGTTTTATCATCGAGCCGTGATCCGCCTTATCGCGATGCTACTAAATCTAATTGAGCCCACCGGCACGTCCCTGATACTTCTGTTAGCCAGGGTTTAGCTCGATGTTTCCATGTTTAGACACCAAGCGCACAAATATTTATTGAAACAGTATATTCACACCAGCCAGGACGGAGCTCGATGCACAAGATACTGGTAACATACAGACCTAGCCTTAATATGTCCATGAAAACTAATATTTCCATTCCGAGTCACCAAGACAAAAAGTCGTCTTGTTTCGCAGTTTTGCGGTCAGTCGGCGGTCAGCCTGCTTGCCCAACAGCGGCAACCAATCACGCAACCCACCACAGCGCGATCTGGTGAGGCAACCAATCACGACGCGATCTGGCCTTTCACTGCCGAACAGATGCAAAAGGGCTGCTGCGTGGGACGACGTGTCGCAAGAAAGACCGGATAAAGCCGGCCGCTCGCCGGCGGTGTCCCCACGCCGTGCATGCGCGGCGGATTGGCCCAGTGCCACTGCGTTGCACCACTCTGCACTCTTGGAGCTGCCGGAGCCGAGCGCCGCTGTTCGGAGCCGGTTCGCGGCCGTCGCGGCCTGCTGATTCGCCGGACGATGCTGTCCGAGCCGACCGCGGTGCAGCTGCCGGGATGGGGCGCCTGCCGCTTGCTGCTGGTGTTGTTAGGCCGCCAGTGGCGTCTGCCCAACAGTGGTACGGCCTCAGGCGGGGTGCCTCGTCCTCCACCGGTCAGCGCAGGCTACAGCTTGGCCAGTGGGATATGACCCTGATTGTTCGATGTGTTGAATATGGGTTAGAGAGCTTTCCCAACAAGTGCATAACACTAGCATCCAGTGGACATGAATTCCCTGGCTGTCTTTGTTGTCTATATGCGCTGTCCATAACCCTTCAAACTTAGTTGCTGATGTGGGTAATACAGATCACCACTGTATTAGAGTGGGTTCCAGACTGGGTCCCGTCATTACCCAACATCACATCTTTGGGCAAGAAGCTCACTGTTGTACTGAATCCTCTTAAGAACTGGAGGGAAACGTGGTACAGATGGTTGATACAGATGATACAGATGATGCAGACAGATTGACACAGATGATCACGAATCCCATCCCACTTCCATCAAGAGATGTCACAACGACACCAGATCTGTGGGATTTCCACCAAATATCACAATTCTGCCTGAGTCACTTGCTCGCCACGACAGCCGATCACCAGCTCCGCCTCTGGCGAGTGATCCATTACCTGGTCCCCAACACGCGGCGGCGGCCGCTGCTGGTCTGGCCGCTCGACCTTGGCGCCCGCACCGAGACCGGTCACCCTCACCGGGCCGTGTCGAGACCCAGCGCTGGTGACGTCACACAGCGTCACGCGCCACGCTCTGGTGACTAGGCCGGACCCGGCTCGCTGCCCACCGGCCGCCAAGTGACCTTCAGGAGGTCATCGACTTACAGCGCATGCGTTCTCCGGATATTGAACCAGGTCATAGGTGGCGCGGGCCGCGCGCTCTCTGTGCCCCACTGTACTCGCCTTGAGGTCAAGTGCTGAATAAGGCCATGGGGATAAGGTGCATCGGTCCGGTTAAACACCTTCGTGCCATGGGCGCAATAGGTCGGCTTTGAAAGGCGCTGTAATCTTGATCGGTACCGGTACCGATCAGGTACCGGATCGGTATACCGGTACATCACGCTCCGTTTTTTGATTGAATGATTTTTTCTTACTCTGAAGTATTCGACCTTGACTATGCCAGGGCGTTGATCTGTTAAAGGAAGGAATCAAACAATTATTAGAATATCCTGTGAGATCATGACTCATGACCACGAGCATGTTCACCCTCACCGCATTGTGAAAAGCGCTGCCCTTAAACGTCGATTAAGCATAGGTATATATATATATATATATATATATATATATATATATACATGTGTGTGTGTGTGTGTGTGTGTGTGTGTGTGTGTGTGTGTGTGTGTGTGTGTGTGTGTGTGTGTGTGTGTGTGTGTGTGTGTGGTGTGTGTGTGTGTGTGTGTGTGTGTGTGTGTGCGTGTGTGTGTGTGTGTGTGTGTGTGTGTGTGTGTGCGTGTGTGTGTTGAGTGGATCTCATGGAATTTGAGTATATTGTATATTACATCTTTTATACATTGAGTATATCATATACTGAGTACATTTTATTTTTCGGTATACAGAAAGTCGGTTGTCGTCAGCATAAGGACACATCACGTTGAAAAATTGTGGACCAAGACCCGTCCTGTTGATATCATGAAGCACATGTATTCCCCCTAAACAAGGCACGGCTTTGCCGCCGGGGCAGACATACGATTGCACAGCAGCATATCAATGATGGCCATGTCAGAACTCCGCCTGTTGTGAAAAGTGTCCAATCTCCTGTACCGTCAACCTGTATTGTCGCAATGCTTGATGGGCATCTCTTGATCGTTCACCACGGCAGCACGTCGCAGCAGTCGATGGCCCAGTCGCAGTGATCGAGGATCTCGTGCACACACGACTGCACAGCCTCCAAAACGGCTTGGCCCTCAACTACTGGGCTTAAAGACAACGGTTGGAACGGCCGCGTTTAATGATCAAGGCCATCAGTATGCTCGCAGTCATGATAGCTTCAATATAAACGCTGGGATTTGGTCTGTCCGGTACCGTTGATTTATGTAAAGTAAAATTGCATCAATATTTTCCAAAGTACGTGACTCCATCACCTGCCGGGACAATCGTCCGCCCACCTTCACTGCCCGTCCACAAGCCCGGGGTGGTCAAGTTCGTTTGCAGGTGATGTGTTCCGCTTGCGCTGTGCCAGCCTTGGCACAGTTGACGCAGGGAGAGGGGGGGGGGACATCAACTGCAAAGACCGCTCAGTGAAGAGCAATGTTGCAATAACGTGCATTGCGTACGTGCTGTCAGAGGCGGCGGAAATGGCGCGGGGGGCGGGGAGGCGGGACAAGAATGTACGGTCCTGATGAAGAAACCTGGCATTCATTCGGTGTCGCTACATGGAAGAAAAGAGGAAGAAATGGATTTGAATTCTATCTGTACACGGTATTTGGTGAAACCATATTCTGGCTTATCTACGGTCACACATAAAATGTAACAACGTAACCATCTGCTGGTGCTTGAGGCAAAATTATTGAAAACAATCCGGACCTCGAAAACATCGTACTGCTTAAGATGACACTACCGAACGTTGAGCAGCATACATATGTTTTAGATACATCCGTCGACTGGCATATTGCGGATTAAAAAAAAGAAAACAGAAAAAGATTCAATTGTGCGTAGGAGTGGGTAGGATACCAATGCGCAATATGACATTTTTGTTTTGGAGATCGCAGATGGCCATCACGCATTCAGCAGTCACATGCACGAACTATCTGTTTATAATTCCCGACAAACAACACTCCCCTGACCGCTGGTTTTATAAGAACACTGGGTCAAGGCCAGGGCAGAAAGGGCACTCGGCAAAGCAGCTCCACTCCGTCACTAGGGAGTGATCCACGGGCTGTTGGTCACGAACAGAGGGCCTTTGTGACAGCCAGCATTTTCCGGGACGCCCATACGCTGGGGTCACGAGTTCTGGGGTCACAAGTGCTGGGGTCACTCTGGGGTCACTGGGGTCACGAGTGCTGTTCGCGGCCCACCCTGTGAATACAGCAAGATGCCGTCCCATACCCTAGCTGCACGCACCACAACAAGATCCGCCGGTAGATGCACCAAGGAAAAACACTTGATTGCTCGGATACATGCATGCGGCCGGGGGGGCGGGGGGCACAGGTAGCCCTCGGTGCCCCCGAGCCACGCAGTTTAGGCCACAGGTAGTCCTCGGTGCCCCCGAGCCGCGCGGTTAAACCCACTGGTATTCCTCGGTGTACCTAAGCCGTGCGGATGGGGCCACAGGAAGTCCTCGGTGCTCCCGAGCTGTGCAGCTGGGGCCACAGGTAGTCCTCGGTGTTCCCAAGCTGGGCAGCTGTGGTCACAGGTAGTCCTCGGTGTTCCCGAGCTGTGCAGCTGGGGCCACAGGTAGTCCTCAGTGTCCCCGAGCCGCGCGGTCGGGCCATCAGCGCACCCCCAGCCGATCGCACGGAACCAACACGGCCTCCCTCCCGCGCCGCAGGATGAAGCTGTTGCATCTGGCGGTGGTGGCGTGCGCGCTGGGCTGGGCGGCGTCTCAGGACGCCTACACCCAGGGCGTGGTGAACGGAGCGACGCTGGCGTTGGCCGGCACCGCTGTGGTCGGCCTTGGCGCGCTGGCCATCAAACAGCATCAGGTGAGAGGCTCGACGCCGCCGGCAATGGAGCAGCACAAGAAGAGAGGCCTGACGTCGCCGGCAGAGAACAGCACCAGACGAGAGGCTTGGTTGCTGCCGCAACATGAAATTGTTTCAAGATAAAACGTACGATTTCATCGCTGATGTGTATAGTCTTGGTGTACTGGGCGTGTTAACCAAAAAACGTGCAACAATGAACCGAACAATACCTCGATAGTGACATCACACTGTTGCCTGGTTCTTGACATAATGGTTTCAGTGTTCGCGTTTCCCAATGTTCATCGATGCCACCAGACATCTTGTTACACATTTGAGCGCTTTTCACAGTACTTCTGTGCATATTCTCCGAGCTCAAATTATGCTAAGTTAAGGGGAGTGTCCCATATTTGTATGGGGTTTTGAACTGAAATGGCGCTATTAAAGATCATTCAATGCAGTTCACAGCTCTGTCCCTCCTAAGACCTAAATCCTCCCAGTTTCTGGGCTACACACCCGCGAAAACGTGCGGACTTTTTCGGGTTGACTTTTCCAAAGTCTCCCAGGCTTCCATGCAGTCATAATAACGCCATTTAAATCTTGCCATTCCATAAACCATATCAAGGTCAATGAAAATATAATTGCCCAGTCGTTTATATCTGGCGTTCGTGAGCACAATTTCCAGATGAAACGGCCGTCAGTTGGCACTTGCTCAATATTGTGAAGGGTACCATGACGTGATCATACAACAACGTTTTGAGGAACGTATTAAATGAACAGAAATTGTGTTGCCAAGAGGAACCATTTCTGCTTAAAAGTGTACCAAAGTGTTAAGCGAACTTACTTAATCATATATAATGCTCGGTTCATTATCTTCAAATGTGAAACATACCCTTGAAGAAGATTCGCTGCTTTACTCCATCTTAGTATCCAACCATCGTCGTCTTTCTATAAGCGAACAAATTCGCGTGCAAGTATGGTCTTCAGAATGGTGTGCATTTATGGATATGGACTTCTTCACAGAGTCGGAGGAGGAACAGATACCGGTACGCTCCGTACTACGGAGGATATTACAATGGCGGATACGGTGGATACAACGGATACTCCCCTGGCTATTACCAGCCCCAGTACTACGTAAGCTCCATTCGCATCCCGTCGCAGAACCCCTTCACCATTGTACTAAGTTTTGTGTTATTTTGTTTGCTGAAAGACAGCGTGCTTGTTTAAGGCCGGTGCAGCTCCATGAAACGTCATTAGCTATTCAATTCTCTCATGTGTGGTGAAGTTGCAGCGTCATATCAATATGGTCAGCAAATGGAGTAAGGCATTTTTCAGTCACAAGCAAATGGAGTAAGGCATTTTTCAGTCACACTTGTTAATATGATGCTACTCAGTCCTGTGACTATCTGCGAAAACGCCATCTGGGTACGTTTGAGGTGGGTTATCTTGATAGCGAAAATGTCTTGAAGGCCTACCAGAACTTGACTTGTTATCTTTGCCCACCCAGTGCCACGGATCAGTTTTAGACACGTCGTGGTACTGCATTGTTGTCATGGATGGAAATCGTCAAATTTTTTCGGGGAACGAGCCCCTCCCATGCGACACTTATACACTTTCGGTGTGTGATCCTGCATGCATTAAGACGGGAATATTGCGTGATTCCCAAAATAATCATTCATAGTTTCGCCTCTGAGTACCGAATAAAGCGGGCACAGCAGCTCAGCCCCACGAGCTGTGTTTTTCGTATCTGCCGTGTGGCGTCGCTGGAAACGCGCCGCCTGGTGGCGCTGCCGTTTGCCACAGCGCCGCCGCCGCTCAACTACTGGCACTGGCGAGGTGGAGCAGGACTTCGAGAAGATTATGGGTCAGGACAAGGACCAGTGCGGCATGCGCGTAGTCTGTGAGCTGGAGGCCCAGGCGGCCCTGGGGGATGACGTCGACGACTTCGGCAAGCTGATCATCAGCCTGTTCGGGTGAGCTGACGCATCATCTATGACCTCCGTTTGAAACAAGCAACTAGTTGGTAGCCGGCCATGAACCGCGACACACTTTGCTTCAAAAAGTGTCCCTAAGCAAACGTAATACGCGGTGCTCTCCTCTCTTGATGGCGCGTCATTTTTGTTTCGCAAGTACAAATATCTCATAAAATTGGCCACACCAATAGCTGCCTGCTGCAAGACTAGACCGGACTAATCGCACCAGGAAACAAAATCCCCTTAACGTCCAGAGCACCTGATTTCTTACCCAATATCCGGACTCCCCGAATAAAACCTCAAAAGGTTTGGTATAGCTCAAACAAACTGTGCCGCCTGCCGACAGCTCGAATCCGGCACCTGTTCCCACCTCCGCCCTGGACACGGCACGGGGCCGGTACAACTACGCCGCCTACATCGGCTCCAAGAGCGACCCCGAGACGTGCGCCGAGCTCTACTCGACCTGCCAGTTCAGCAGCAAGTCGATCCTGCAGCTGGTGGAGGCGTCACACCAGCCGAGGCTGCTGAGTGTGGTGCCAGCGCCAGTCGCCGACGCGCAGTGAGGCTGAGTGTCTTGCGTAGTGTTCGACTGGCTGACAGCGCGTCTGTATGAGAAGGTCTCAGCTTAAGCTCTCGATGAGCCGGTATTCCGTCGGCCTCCAGCGTGTCTTCGTATGACAAACGGGAGGCGGGTGCGTGATGTTGCAGGCTGGGGTGGCGCATGTGTGTACATAAGCACGGCACTTTAAAATGCGTTTTAGAAACTGCACTATTTGCGCCTTAATGCTGGCTAAGCCAGTCATGTTTTACAATATGCTGAGCACGAGCTGCTCTTATCTGTCCGAGCGTAGCTACGCAGAAGCTTAAATTATGAAAAGGGGAAGGATTAGAAAGCCAATGTACGATTGGCCCGGATTCTCCTTATTTACGTCGGGCTGGCGCGACTGCAGCGAGGGCTGACCATGCTGCCCATATAAGCATGCAACATTGCACACGTATCTCTGTCTATGTGCGCGGCGGCTGACTGCATAACCATATCTCGTCGCGTATACGCCGCTGCGCCCTGCAAGTTTCAGCGATTGTTTTACTGTTCGATGCTTATCAACGCTATTGTTCTGTTTTGGAAGTCCATCTGCTCTTTGTGATGCGACCATGCCATTGTGTGTTATGAGTTGGTATACTGTTTTGTCCGTTCACCTATGGCTTTAATGTTTTTCGAGTACATGCTCACCTGAAACAGCCATGCGGTCTTTGTGTGCCTAGCAACGGCAGGCGATGTTGGGGTACTAAGGCCTTTCACAGTGTTGCAGAAGCATTTCACGCTTTTGACCGCACTTGACAAGCCAGCACATCCATCCACTCAATGTGACGTATTTCGAGCGAGTATGCAGACCGACCAATGATGGCTCGCTCGGTGCCACAACTCTGAACCTGAACCACAACTCTTGAACCTCAACTCTCAACAGCCTGTCCCAACCCAGCCCGCATCAGCCGCCACACCATCTACAAGTTAATTATTTGCAACAACTGACAGCATCTTCAGCTGTTCTCAGCAACAAGGCATCCAATGTCCTCAAATGTGTGCTGCCTACCATGTGAAACATTTGCACACAGTCTGGTTGATAAGGCATGATTTTTCTGCTCCACTGCAACCCTAACAGTACACTCGGGAGGATGAGGCAATGCCGACAAGGAAACAAGTGTTATCGATCGAGATGTCAATTTGTCACCTTCACATTGAGACATGGAGTCGATATAAAGCTGAAAAACAAGCCTCCCTCCAGCCAAATGATTCGGTGATGTCCCAGTGGATCAGTTTGTTAGAGCGCCTGCTTCCCGATTCACCCTCCCGTGGCGGGGTGGGTTCGAGTCGCTTTAGGCGCTCGCTATTTGCCCTTGACAGGTATGGCCTGCGGCCGGTAGCAGCGGTAGCGCTAAAGGTCAGTTGACGTCAGGGGCAGATGGACCGTGCCGAGCATTGCGGCACGTTAAGCTTTCGCCACTAAATTCTGCCGTTGCCTGGAATTGCGCGATCGGATGGTAGGGGTCAGGGCTCACGCAACAAGCACTGTTCAGCGTGAGCACTGATCCCAGAAATCCATCCATTCAAAGGGTTCGGATCAAATTTAAAAAAAACTGCTAACCATGTTTTAGTAAGCCTTATCAGCTTCCTTGCGTTAATCGCCACACATCGTTCACATTGGTTCACGGACCACAATCTCGACTACAACACTGCCAAATACACATTTTCCCTAGTATCACCCATAGGCAAATGACAGACGAAGATAGAGCCTCCCACGGTCGATGGAGGTGGACACGTTGATGAGGATGTAGTTAGTGGATTAGAAGATGTTCCGACAGGCGGGGCCGCACGCTCAGCTCTGTTAAAAATTCCGTCGACCGAGAGCAAAACTAGGAGGCATGCAAAAGGTCGTCTGTACTGGTCTGTGTAGCTACAGCCAAGGCAACAGCTCCGGCAGCACTAGCACTGGTCGGTCTCCGATTCCCCAGAGGTGGTGAGAACGATTTAATGAGAGCGATTTAATGACAAAATCCTGTGAGATACTCTGGACAGCAGTCACCTGAATTTGGGGTCATCTGTTGTGACGCACAATGATCCGCATATTTCAGCCAACTGGTCTTGGCTGGCCATAAGCAGTCTATGCTCTCATTTCTCATAAAATTCTGCCCGTAGAAACTCTCCGGCTTAAGTATGAAAAAATTGGGGGGGGGGGAGGGGGCAACTTTGGACGGGCAAAAATTAAGCCCTCACCTTCTGTGCAGGCCCTTGGAACCGTTTTTGATGACAACATAAATTGGGCGCGTCAGGTGTCACCACTGTGAAGCGATGTTATAGCACCTTGGTAGACCTTGCCAAATTGAGCCCTTGACTGCCGGTTAAAACTAAAGAGATTATGATTGACCGGCTCGCTCACCTACATCTAAGCGCTGGCCTCAGAGCGTGGGGCGCTTGCTCTCCGTGACGAAGGCATGAGGATCCACGAAGCGTTAAATTTTGGCGCCAGAACTATAAGTGGACCAAATTATTTTGAACAGGTATCTCCCACCCTGGAAATTCTCGGACGCCTCAAACTTAGCAAACTTTTAGCCCAGCGCGACCATCTAGCTCTCCAGCACCTTCGAAGATCACCAACAGTACCAGAGAGGTTACGTACCGTTGTTATACCGCGCTCTGATTAGTCCGCCCGATCTAAACGACGCTCTGGAAACCTTCTGCTACAAACCCTGCGTGTCCAAACTGACCTTGCCCGCCGGGCATCTATGTGCCGCGCTACTTGCACGTGGAATCGTCTTATGCCAAATGTTATGGCCCTAGCAACAACGAGACATTTTCAATCGGGTGTATCGAACTGGCTGCAGGCTGGTTGTGCATATCGTGCAGCCTTGGTGCTTTTCTTCATTAGGAGAGGAACAATCGGACGTAAATTACATATGAATTAACTGATTATTTGGTGGCTATGTTTACGACATATAATGCCCTGGAAATCGGAAAAAAACATCGTGGATATTTTTTCGAACGCATGCATGCGTGCCGGGTCCATCGAAAAGCGACTTGGAAAACTAGTGGCGGTTTCGGCGATTGGAGACTGAACTGTGCAAAGGTCACGATAGGGTATCTTCATATCGGCACAGTATGTACCGACTGCGGGGATTAGTAACGCGAATACTTCTTACTTGCCAAAGAGAGAGTGCAATTGAGAAAATGCACAGTTGTAAGCAGTTGCTTGTACGACAATGTTTAGACGCGACTGTTGATTAAGGATAGCGTTCATTTAACAAAGTACTCAAGCAAAGGCTCGCACATCGATATGCGACGTCAGTACACACTTCGCACGTAAATGTTTGTCAGGGAGGAAGTTCTCTTGACGATAGGGCTACCCAAAACATCGTATGCAGATGTGCACTGGACGTTGGAATGCAGATCTTCATTCTTGGATCATTAACGGATCTTCATTCTTGGTGGCGGGTGGCAGATGAAAGGTCGCTGCGGGAGCCACCACATTCCGGTGGATGAAGACAATGGTGTAGTTCAGGTCAAGTATTATCACTAGCCTGTCTCTTCGACATGAACTTTAGAGAGGCGGTCAACACACAAACTCGAATCAAATGAGACAGTGCTAGGAGACCCTGGTATGGCGGGGAACCACGTGCACTGCTAATCACCCGCCAAGCCGTTATTCTCCCCCTGCATCCCCTACCCTGACGACGCCTCTGTCGACGACTCTGCCTGGCGCCCTCCTGAGCGCGCCACTGACGCCAGCTGACTGACGCAGCGGAATACTGTCCAGAAAGAATGATGCACCAGCTGGACCCCCTTTGATGCATCCCTTTTAATCAGAACCTTGTTTACATTGGACCTAGGATTGCGATAGTATCACTTTACACTGGGAGTGGCTTGAAACTGCTCACTTGAATTCAGATCTCAGATTATCCCGGTAAACGAAGCTTCAGTGAAATCTGAGAGCTAACGGAGCATAAATCCGAGAGCCGACGGTGCATAAGTCTGAGAGCTAACGGTGTATAAGTCTGAGAGCTAACGGTGTATAAGTCTGAGAGCTAACGGTGTATAAGTCTGAGAGCTAACGGTGTATATTGGGCGCCTTGGTGATCAATCTGCTCTGGAACACTCCCCATTGAACTGTCATCTGCTAGTCCGGAATAAATTATTTTCATGGTCCGCTATGGGCTTAATGTCCAGCACTGTCGGAAAGCGGTGGCGCACCCACAGAGCAGCGTGAAAACCTTTATAAGCTCTGAGTAAACAAATTGAAAATCACTCCAGCCACGACATCTGAAAACACTTTCGAGTGTCACCATGACTGTTGTATTGAGCCATCATTTTGTGTACAGTAGAGTGGAAGGGGAACGTGAACCCTCTGTTTTCAAGTGTTATATCATTCATCTTCAACATGTGAGGTTCAATAATTCAATCACGGAATAAATAGCATCACAGACAAAAACGATTAGTTATTTAATGTAGCACTCTGACCCATTTATTTTGAAAGCTTCTCCTACCTAGCAACGTGTGCACTCATTCATCCACCTCAACTTTTACTTTTGTATGACAGTTTTCTATTTTATTATCATGCATCTCATTTTTAACGTCAATCATTTCCTTGGGAAGGGGATCGCCGTTCCCTGTCCAAAATGAGCCCTATAGCGGCAGCAAATTCGCCTCGCCAGTCACAACTGGCTCCGCGCTACTAGCGCCACCTGTAGCCACCTTGTTGATGTGGTGTTGGGCACTGGGCCACCTTTAAAAATGTGTGAAAAATGCTGAGAACACCAGCAGACAGGCTGCAGCACACACATCGCTTAAGTTAGATGCGACAGGTGTGCGCGTTAGTTTGCTAAAAGTATTCATGTGCGATAGCATCATGTCCAGTGGGAGGCAAAATTCCGCAGGTGGAAAAACATTTAAGCCCATTGGGAGGCATTTGCTTTTACAGTTAAAATGTTAAAATAAAGCCTCCGCCCAGGATGGTCAGAATTTCAAAATTCTATGCGTATCTCATAGTGCTCAAGATTTCCTGCGTGCCTGAATTTCGCTGACTTATGTTGAGGAGATGGGTTTTATTACAGCACTTTAATCGGAAACAAATTCCGAAGCTTCGGATGCTGCTTTCCCAAAACATTGTGACGAAACTCGTAAACAGGGCTTTCTCTTACAAAGAACAGATGATCACAGAATGAAAGTCCTCTTTTCCGACATTCCCAAGCCTAGCCTGGCTGCCGACCGCCGTCGGCGGCGGCCGTCACTAGCATGACTGACCGTGAACTGGTTGTCTTTCTCCTTTGCTGCATGTTTGTGGATCGATATCTCTTTTCATTGGTGTTGAAACCAGGTGGGACGCCTGATATAGCGCGTATATCCCAATGTTCTTTCAGTACACCCCACCACAGCAAAGTATAATATGTTAGCAGCCTCATGTTCATGCCTCAGTTCATGCCTCAGACCGTCTGTCTGAGGCATGAACTGGTCCGCCGGTTACTGGCTTGCATCTTGCAGAATGTAACGGCTGATCCGCTTTTGCATGTAAGACGAAAGTGCAGATCCTTTTGAACAAGTTGTGTGCATCCTTCATAAGCATTTACCGTAACCCGGCATGGCAGGAATATAAAGCGCTTTATGAAATGCCGTCGTGATATCTTCATGAAATTACCATGCCCATGTCGCTTAGCGTCTAAGTCGCTATTGAAAAGTTTTGAAGTCGCCGGC